ACAGATCAATGACGAGTATACAGCACCGTTTACTGGAGTCATTTACCGAGTATCCAAAGACAGTGACCATCTCATTCCCAGCGAGTTTGACGGCTTCCTCAAGCGAACGTCAGAAACGAAAAAAGCTGCTGATGTAAAAACTGATGAGAATACAGATAAAAGTTGACAATCACAAGGAACGGGGCAGAAATATCTATTGTGACGAGGGTTATAGTGAAAATTACAGTGATGATAAGATGGAAGATGTTTATGAGTATTTAAGTCATGCTTGTGTATTTAGTGAGATCAATAAAAGGACATTTAAAGGATCGGTGTCATATGTTCTGCTTATTAGAAACCTTGCTTTTTAGCCCACCATCATCTGATGGTGGGCTATTCAAATCACCATGCGTCCCTCCGTCGTTCGTCCTTAAATAATTCTTGTTATCGGTATTTCTCAAGAAGTACCAGAGAGATCTTTCTCAAATTTTATATGTTGGTTCCCCTTGGTCCTTAGCTGTGCAGGGCAACTTTTAAGACTGATCAGATAAAAAAACATGGCTGACAGGCAGCCATCTTGGATTTTGATAGTGAAAGTTTGTTATCGCTATTTCTCAAGAAGTACTAGAGTGATCTTTCTCAAATTTTATATTTAGGTTACCGTTGGTCCTTAGCTGCGCAGGGCAACTTTTGAGACTGATCAGATAAAAAACATGGCCGACAGGCAGCCATCTTGGATTTTGACAGTGAAAGTTTGTTATCGCTATTTCTCAAGAAGTACCAAGGTTATCTTTCTCAAATTTTATATGTAGGTTCCCCTTGGTCCTGAGCTGTGCAGGGCAACTTAACCCTTATCCCGCCAAGTGCAGCATATGTCGTTCAGCAAAACATGCCTTCCACTGCCGATCGCGGCATATGTCGATTCCGGGATTGCCGTTTTAAGTACGGAACTGCGGTGAGAAAATCACTGCTAGCTTTACTTAGAAATGATGACGTATTCGTTTATACCTTAATTTCATTGGCTGACTACGTGATACCCACAGTTTATTTATAAACTAAGCCACCATGACCGCGAGAGCACAGATTCAAGGTTTTGTTGACAGTGCGAAAAAATGGCGGACGACAAACTGACAGAAGACGAATCGAACGACTGTAGATTATCAGCGATATATTTGACAATGACTTTTAGGGATTCGGACCTGAAGATTTACTACGGGACGCAGAAATCGTACAAGATATTGACTTCAATCATATAAAGACGTGGACATTCCTGAAGACGACGACAACACAGCGTACCTCCATAAATGCCCCATTCACGGGACGGCCCGGTTTCAAAGATATTCCAGGTGACGGCGACCCTATTCATTTTTCTTTCTCTTCTTTTTGACGTCAATATAAGGACGACTCTTAGGACAGAATACTAAGTACTTTTGATGATGAAACTTGGAATTGTTTTTCAGGTGATGGTAATAAATAAACTTTATTAGATGTAAATCATCTTTATTACATACAAAATACACACAAAACTCAGCTTTTCTAACCTGTAGTTCGGGAAAGGTAAGCGAGATATCCAAAATTACTTTTGATATGAAAAGAAGAAGTCTTCCTGAACAAAACACTTTATATATATTTTTTGGGATTCTATAAAGATAAAAAGTTATTGTTGGTTTAATCAGATAATTAATTTTGATTAATATAGCTGTTGTTTATTTGGCAGTGGGAGGTATACCACAAATTGTATACACAGCAGTGGTGTGTATATATACACATGAGTGAATGGCGGGATAAGGGTTAAGAG